GCATGAAAACTAAATTAAAACTAAGGTAGATGAAATACAATGCAAGGTACCTTGACTAACATCTATTTTGATGGTGGTGGGGTCGTTTTTCTCGCCAAATGCTTAACTCGCTGCTTCATGGGCTTAGTAATGGGTTGTTCAAGTTCTAGGGTAGTGGCGTCGAAACGATTTTTCTTTAAAAAAACAAATTTTAAATTTTTTTAATATGGTTTTTAAAATATCTTGTTTCGAATAGTTTGGTGACCTTTTAATACTAAAACACGGTTCGAAGAGTCACCACCAATATTTGTTTAGGGTGTGATTGGGCACTCAAAACGTATTTTTTATTTTAAGAAAAATATTAATTTTAATTAAAACAACAAATTTGCGGTTTGCGTTACCAAAATTTGAGTTCGGGAGTCGGTTACGTTCGGGGAAGGATTAGCACCCCCATAGCGCCCTAAATCGATACCTAGTCGATTAATTAGTTGTCTTTGCAATGAAATTTATAAATTCGAGTTTAATTTAAGTTAAGATCCCATACAAATAATATTCTTTGAATTTTAGAACAAAACATAATAATATTTAATTATTTCCTATAGAGAATAATCGACCTCTCATGCCTTAAAGTAACAAATTCTTACTCCAACTAAAATAAAGAAATATTACAATTCCGTTCTAGAACTCATTATTAATTCAAAAATTAAGCGTATAAATAACAATACAATTAAACAAAATAACTCTAAGACCTTATTCTTCTTTTTTTTAAACATATTCTTTGAATTTCAAGAGGAAAAACGATAATATCTAATTATTTCCAATCGAGAATAAATTATCTCTTGTGCCTTAAAGCAATCATTTATTATTCCAATCGAAATACAGAGATATTAATATTTCATCATAAAATTCAATATTAATTCAAATGCAGAAATAAAATAAAAAAATTAAAAACATACATCAAGCAAGTATAATTAATTATTTATTTTACCAACCTTTAATGAGAATAAGGATGTTCAATTATTTAAATACATATAGACGAGACCTTATATTCGATCTAACAGACTTTTCTCGGTGAACTTAATTAAAAGAACATGATTTTTTTCTCAATCCCATATTTTAAAATGAAATCAATTTAATTTGTGTCACTTAATGGGATAAACTTTCATTTTAAAATTATCAAAAGTAACTTTCTTATACGTTAATACAGTCACTTCACGACAATTAAAATAAACGAATATTACCCTTAGTTAAATTATTTTGGTTCGGGTCAAGAAATGCTTATGAGGGTATATAAAAAAGTTAGAATAAAATGAAGTGCAAAAATGACCAAAATGAACATATTTAACATTAAGTGCTAAAATTGTAATGAGTAAAAATAAATAAGATATGGGGAACAAATTAAAATAAAATAAAATAAAATTACATGGTTATTAAATTAAATAAAAAACAGTTTAGAGACCAAAATATAAAACATGTTGAAACTACAGGGACTATTTAATGATTATTCCTTTTTTACAAGCCTAAAACATACTTTTAAATAAAAATGCGTAAATTACTAAACCAGTCCAAAAATAATAAAATTAAATTAAATAATCACTACACATGACCAAAATGTAAAAATAAGCTTAAATAAGGGGGGCTAAATAGAAAATATTCCAATAAACACATAACATACAAGAAAAAAGGGTAAATAATAATTTTGGTCCCTACAGGTAACCAACATGCAAAAATATCCTAAACTATGGGGGACTAAATAGAAAATATCCCAAAAAACTTTGGTCCTTACAAGTGACCAACATGCAAAAATACTCTGGACTATGGGGAACCTATGCGTGCTTTTACCCTAAACTTTCCCTATAAAACCCATTTTTCTTTTTTTTATTTCCACCGAAAAACCTAAAAAAAACTTAAAAATTCTCTCCCCTCTCTCCTCTTTTTTTTCGATCGATCACCGTCCCTGCCGCCACACACGACGGTCGAAATTCCTAAACCAAACCCAAAATAAACCCTTCGCTCCGATATATTGTCCTGAGCCTAGATCTAAGGCCGAAATCACCTAAAAAGACCCCTCAAGACCCTGAAGACTCTTCGACATTTCGGTTTCTCTCCTTCTCCGGTCGCGAAAATGAATCGGTCGTACGATTCAGCTCCTCTCTCAGGTAACTCTCTAAATCTCTTCTTCTTCCTTCTTTTTTTTCCGTAAATATGCTTAGTTTTTTTAAAATATATTATATATAAACATCCATAGTAATCAAAAGTAGTAACTTTGATTTCTTTTATTTGACCATAGATTTTGTCAATTACAGAAAAATCCTTATTTATCAGTAGATTTAGTCTTCGTGATTGTAAGAGTGTGTATTCGAATTATTTTAATATTATATTAATGATTAAATTATGTGTACCTATTACGTGCTATATTTTTATGAATAGAATGACTAACAGTTAATCTTAACAGCGAAAAACTTCAATTTAATCAAAAGATTAACATAATTTAATTTTAATTTAACAACTGACAATAACGTATCAAAAAAATTAATTCAACAAGAAAAATTACGATTGAGATTTAAAGAAATTAAAATGTTTTATGACAAATTTATATCAATGAAAAAAAAAGAGAAATTATCCACTTATTACAATAGAATTATTAATTGTCAAATTAGAATTTACGAAACCTAGAGTTCATATTGTGTAGACAACTTGCACTTGATAATTTGTAATGATTGATATAACGGACGCAGGATCTTATGTTAGGAATGACAAACTTGAATTTAGGAGGCAAGCTTAAACTGGGAGGCGGAATTAAAATTCTATAAGGGTCGAAAACAGATTTTCAATAGAAAATACATAAAAATATCTAAAATATATAACGTTTTTAAATTTTCAAAGGGACGACTACCTCACCCATCACCCCATCCCTGTAACTAAAGTCTGCTCTCTCAAGCAAATTTTAAATTTTCCTAACGATTTCTAATCTCGATCTTGTATCATCCTACAATAATATTATAATGTGGGCCAAAGTCGTAAAATGTAAAAAATAAATAAATAAAAGGAAAATGATATAAACAAATCAATAGGCTTGTTTGTGATAAATAAACCGAACACGTCACTATTCGTGTTGTTCATTTATTGAATGAATATGAAAATATTATTCATATTAGTCTATTTAATTTAACAAACAAATGTTGTTCACATAATTCACGAACAATTCAACGAATGATCCGTTCATTTACCTCTTATACATAGACAACATAACCATGGCTGAACAGAAATTTACCTTGATACGACGATAAAAAGCAGTTCCTGGGATTTTGAGAGGCAATGAGGAAGATGAAGAAATGAGTTTAAAATTGGCTCTAAACTTTTCCTGATCTTCACCAATAGGTTCAAGGCTCATTTATCATGTTGCCAATTACTTTGAGAGTGAACTGCAAACTAGAAAGTTATCAGTTCGAAGTTTCCATATGAGTTCAACATAAAAAAGTAAGGATGAACTACATGTTTAGTACCTAAACTATTATTTTTAGTTTGTTTTTATACCTAAATTTTATTTTTTCCCCAAAATGATACATAACGTTTAGTTTAGGTTTTATTGACTTGCCACCATTTAAAAATATATATTACGCCAACAGTTCTGTTAATTTTTTAACACCGAGATACCAAATTGAAACCTAAAATAAATGTTAAGTATAATTTAAAAAAAATAAAGTTTAGGTACCAAAACGGGATAAAAGTAATAGTTTAAATCTAAACTTGTAGTTTACCCAAAAAACAAATTGCTTTTTTTTCACAATACTCAACAGAAGAAGCCTCTTCAAGGACCAAAATTCTTCGACCGGACCATGGATCCAGTGTTTCGATCGCCCGAGTGTTGATAAAATGGAATTGTTTTTTCAAACTTTTCCATACCTGGTGAGGGAAAACAGTATATATTAGTAGTAAACACATATATCAGCTTGCTCAACTTCTCATTTTTCTTGAAGTACATGAATCAGACCCTCGAATTCGAGTAAGATAATTCGAAACATAAAGAACATTTGATTAATACTCAACTTCTCATTTTCAATCACCAGGGGCAAATGCTAAAAGTAATCTAATTGTTATTTAAACATCATCACTTACTATATATATATACAAACCGACTACAAGTGATAGTTTATACCTTGGAATCTATGGTGACACAGGCACAGCCTTAGCTTCGTAATGGAAATGATTATTTCAATGTAAACACTAGGGGGGAAAACCAAAATTAAGATTTATCAATTCTTTGGTCGGCATCTTCTGAGAGGTTTGTTGCTTACCTGATGGAAAGGATCCTGATCAGCCATAAGTGGCAAAAGAAAAATGTCAGTATAAAAGGAAGAAAACAAATGCTTAGGGCTATTTGTTGAAAATTAATTTGTTTGAGAACTTAAAGCCAACAAAAGAACATTTTGTTTATTTTTTACTCATGATAGATAAACCAAGGAATAAATTGTGTCAGCTGTTGTTTACAATAAACTGTGAAAGCCTCATTAACTGTAACATACAAGAAAATAAAAATGAAAAAAAAAGGTTCACCTTTGTCACAACATTCAATTGTACCATTTTATCATTTGAGATACTCAGTTAATTTTAGATATGATAATATATATATATATATATATATATATATATATATATATATATATATATATATCAAAGTCATATATCTACACCAAGGAATAAAATATTATTCTAAATATAAAGATTTGTTACAACAACAATCGTCTGTCTATCGATTATGCTATATAATAACTCCTCTAAACGGCACATTTCAGTTTATCCTTTCTACACTAATGGTGATAAAGCCCTATGCGAAACAGATACAACGGGACTGATCCCAGAGGACTCCTTCACGACCTTAACCTGCAATGCCTACACATAATTCTATGTACAAGATGCTTACATTGAATGAATGTTCTTACGCTCACCAAGTATACCCTTCCAATAAAGTGAGGTTGATGCCAGGGATGGATCGAAGGGGGCTGACGGGACGATCGCCCCCTGAAACTTTCAAAATCTCATGTAATTTAAGTATTTTTTTTTATTTACTATTAATAATCTGTTTTTGTCCCCTAAAACTTTATAAGTTCGTCTCTTAACATAAAATCATGAGTCCATCCCTGGTTGAGGCTGTCCATTCGAAGCTTGGTTGTTGGTGGATAACCGAGGCATCTGCTGCTCTGCTGTGACGGTCTCTGCAGGACGCCAAAGTGATGTGGAGCATGTTGATGGGGAAAAAATTTGAGGCACTCCTCTACTGAAAGGATTTCCATTCATAGCAGACACTTGGCCAGCTTGTATCCTAAGCCGTTGCACTTCTTCCCTCAATTTTTCATGCAAAGCTGCATACCGTTGAAAAGAAAATACTAAATAAGTACCTTCAAAGGCTAACTTGTTTACTATATCGCCTATTTTATGACATAGTTGGAATTGGTTACATTGAAAAATGTATAATAATGACAATATCTATAAGGTATCTGAAAACCATATGTAATCAAAATGTGACAAGCTTTTCCATGCCATATTAACTATGGTTTATTTATATAACAAATAAGTACTTAAAAGTATATCATTTTTTCATCAAAGTACCTAAAATATTTTTTAGTCAAAATAAGTACCTAAAGTTATCTTTTTGGTCAAAATATTACCTAAAGTATTCAATTTTTTTCATCTAAGTAACTAAAATATTCAATTTTTTTCATCTAAGTACCTAAAGTATTCTTTAATTAATGTCACATGTCAACTATTTTTAGAACTTATATGAAAAAGATTGAATATTTTAAGTACCTATTTTGACAAAAAAATACTTTAGGTACCTATTTTTACCAAAAAGATAAGTTTACGTACTTATGTTAACCAAAAGATAGTTTAGGTACTTAAATGAAAAAGATGGTATACTTTATGTACTTACTTATAATATAAGCCTTTATTTAATTAAATTATGAAACCCACATGACTCACATGATAGAAGATGAAATAGCACAAGCTTTGATGGTTTTACCAATCCGTCACAACTGACGAATGAATAAAAAAATGATGTCGCTTCATTAAGGTGTGTATGAAGCAGAAAAATGTGAAAAAGCATGCATACCATCTCTAAGATGTGCTTGTTACTCTATAGCCTGTAGCCGTAGTTTCAGTTCCTTATTCTCAGTAGTCAACCCGGTTGCTAAAGCCTTCCCCAGGCTTTGCTCATTACTAGCTGGATCCGAAAAACAAAAGACATTGAGGTTAAAATCAGCTTGAATTTATGGATCCTTTTCATCAAAAAGAGCCTTATAAAATCGTTTCCGTTCTTCCGGGTCAAATAAACCTCCTAAATTATCACCATTGTCATCATGGTCAGAATTTTCAGCGCTTCCAATTTTCCTTCTCTCCGACTTCATCAAATTCATCCCTTTCTTCTTCTTTTCCAAATTTACCAATCGATGCCTCTGGTTATATTCGTGAAGCCCTTCTTGCATCAATTCTCCAAATTTATTCTTGACAATGACTAGTGGATCTTTATCAACCAATTCAGACCCATCATAAGCTTCTCTAAGGAGCACAGTGTAAATCTGATACTTGTTCGACACGTAAAAGATGCCGGGGTGCTTGAGCAACAAAACATTCAATTTCTCAGGTAAAGCAAACTCTTTCTTGAAATGGCTTAGCTTTATAATCGATAGCTTCTTCCACAATGTCAATGACAACAACTCATGCACAATACCCACAATTCTCTTATCCATTTCCTTTGTTCCTTCCTCTAAACATCTAGGATTTAAATAAGGTGAGACGTAGGGAATAGCATTAAATTCTTCAAACCTCTGTCGTGATTTGATCCAAGTTGGAGGTAACAAACATGAGAAACAAGGCTTTATTCCCTGTTTCCAAGCTGAGGCTTCAACAGCAGAGACTGCTAAATCAGGGTTCCACGCCAGAAGTTCAATTTCCATTGAACTCTTCCTCCAACCGTTATTAACCAGTCGAAACATTTCTGGGTGCTTCGGTAAAATTCTAATGATGTAGTCATCTGGAAATCCAAAGCTGTGTTTGAGCTCATTAAGTTTTGTAACATTAAGCTTTTGATTCATGCTCATCATTAACAACTTTGCCAATCTCTGTACAAATATCGGCTCCTGCATATCTTTCACCGATTCTTCCTCTTCGACAAAATGCATCATCTGCTTTGTTAATCTACAATGATACTCATCATTATCGAGATAAACTTCGAAGCAACAGGGATACTTCTTGAGCCAATTGAGGGCTTTGCCTTGAAGATCGAGACTCTTAAACTTCTTCTGAAGATGCTTCAAAGGTGCCACCTGGTTTGGGCATCTAAGTATTATGTTTTTAATCTGGTTATTGACTATCCAACGGCGATTTCTCGAAAGAGCTGATTCAAGATCCGAGTCTTTCTTCATTGACCAAAGAGAGAAGTTTCGAAAATGATAAAGATGGGAAGGATGAGAGTACAGCCTACAATAACAAGAAGCCAACCTCTGCAACAATCTATTACTAGCCAACATAATCAACTTGGTATGCCGCTTATTCTCCAAGGATAAACCTGTTAAGAGCAAAGAAAATAAAATAAGAAAGAGCAAACCATAAAGCATAAACAAGGAGCTCTACCGAGGGATCTATTTTCACTCATCCGACAGTCTTAAATATGTGTAAAACTAAAAGAAGTTTTCCCTTAGGTAAGTGGATCCTAACACATATATTACTATTATCATTTTCATTTGAAATTAGAGTCCCACATTACATTGGGAACCTAATAAACTTTTGGAATCTAGAAGGGCTCCCAAGATACGGGTTTGGAATTGACCCTTCAACAGCAGGCGGCGGCCACACCACGGCGTTGGCGCCCTTCGCGACTGCAACATTGCAAGGATCAGCGAACCAATTGCGACACAATTTTTTGACATCACAACCAAAGCAAACAACGACGGTCAAACGACAGAATATAACAAAGGCAAGTGGGTCTAATCCCAACGGCGGCGATAAAGATTATAGGAATCTAACAACCATTTAGCAGTAGATCACAAGTTAATAGAGGAAGAAGAGGTCTTTACCAGGCGAAGACGATGGCATCAATGGAAATAGCTATGGAAATGGCGATGGAAACAACGGGTAAAACCGGGACGGCGATGGACTCCTCGAACGGCGGTGATGAAAACGAGGGGTTTAGACTGTAGCGAAATCAGGATGTTGGACTGAGGAATAGCTTCGAATGCTTTAACTGCATAACCCCTATTTTTCTTATAACTGATTTCAAAATATAGTAAACTATATTTTTAGTCCCTGAAGAAACTGATATTTACATATATGGATACAAACTTTTCTAAATTACAATTTAATGCCAAGACATTGAATTTTTTTTATTAATTCCTAAATTTCAAAATTAACACTTTCAAGTAGAGATGTCACACTTTGTTGGATAAAAAAATTGACAATTGACTACTGATCAACGTTTTTTATTATCTATGTAGAATAAAAAATGACATCCTCAAATTTTTTAAATATTTATATATTTTAGGTATTTTTTATATTTCTTATTAATGATCTAAGTTCGTATCTCTAAAAATTTTAAATTTTTCATCCATAAATTTCTAAAATAATTTCTTAAATGAACCCCTAGAATAAATCCAACGTCTATCCCTAATCAGAGCTACATGAGATGAAATGTTGACATGATAATATCATATATGATTAATTGATGATATGATACAATATCAAATTAAAAAATAATTTAATTTTTTTCATAACTAATTATTTTTATTAATTTAATGACAATTAATTAAATGATGACTTTTTATCATCTCATTGGTTCAAAATATAAAAAATAAAATCTATCTTTAGGTACTCGAACATAGGCATGAAAGGGGAAAAAAACTTAACCTTTAACCACAATGAGCTGAAGACTTGGTTACTTGAATAATGTTGTATATATAAAAAAAATTAAGTTTTTCTTCATTAAATTTTGACAAGTTGTAATGAAACCATAGTTGTTTTTCAAGTTTGACCCTTGAATTTTGACCAAAACAAATAACCCAAATCATATAAAACTCTCAACAACTCTAAAGATGGGTCGAATGGGTGGATGGGACTGTTGCTCTTAAAAATTTAAAGTTATCATATATTTTAGATTTTTTTATGTAATTGTATACTTTATTTTTGCCTCATAGAATTTTATAAGTTAATCTCTTTATAAAATTTTAGAAATCCACTCTCTTAACATAAAATCATGTGTTCATCCCTGATTGTGTCCCATAATCCTATTCTCCTCTACTTGTAAAACCATCGACAAACATCTCTTGTCCGACTCCATCGATTGAAAATACCTGGAGAACGAGTCCAAGATCATGCGACCCTTTTGTCTCTCCAATCCCAACATCGTGTAAATCTATGACATGTTTGCATTCGAAGACACCTTCAACTCATTATTAACCTTTGCCAGTCGATCATGTCTATGACAAGAGACGGAAGTGGGATTCTATATTATCAGAAACAAATTTATAAAAAATTTATTGGGTGAACTTATAAAATCCTTACTCTAGTCGCATTTTCGATCTATCCCTATCTATGATTAAATTCTACAACACGATATGTCCAAACCCAAGATTGCTTTGAGGATTTTCAGATCAGTTGCCGAAGCTAATGTTTTCAGGAGATTGTGTGTAAAACAAGTCATGAGCAAATACATACAAAACAGAGAGATGAATGGAGCCGGAAGCAAAATAAAACATAGTATCAATAAAAACACAATTATCCTATTTAGGGTTTTATACTAACCATCATTTAATGTTATGTTTTCTAATTAATAAAACTAAAGTTTTAGTTATATACTTGATCGTGAATATACTTGAATTGTAATGCCCCGAATTATGGGTTAGGAATTTCATGTTTATTTTTTCAGGCCTTAGAATAATTTCCCCTAACCCATGAAACTTTTGACCCAAGTGGTTTTTAAATTGGGCTTGGGATGAGCCCAACAAGCTTGATTTTGGATGCTTTTAACCTTAGCTCAAATGTGGGAGGACCAAGAGGGTAATTTACCCATTTTTTAATCAAGTTGAATCTCATTAAATGTGATGATCTCAAGTTCTGAATTCTCATCCTCTTTTTCATATCAACCTTGTCTCTTCTTCCTCTTCACTTTTCGTTCCTTTTTCCTTCAAGAGCTAAGTAAAAGTTGAGAGCTTTAAGTTATTCCAACATTCTATTGAAATTCCAAGGTAAAATTCATCAACCCTATCCTTCAAGCTTTCATTCTAACAAGTTTTGTGGGTTTTAAGTTGTAAGAAAATGTTTTAGACTTCCTTATAAGATTTAAAATGAGCTTACAACTCATTAGAACTCATTTTAATTAGTGAAAAAGCAATAGGAGACCTCCAAGGCTAGAGGTAAGGAAAAACTTACCCTTGGGTGATTCAAGGGTGTTTTCAGTCACCTAAGCTCAAGGTAACATGATTCTGACTTGTCCATACCACATGTAGTTCATTGTATGTGCATTATGGTTTGTTTAGTTCATGAAGCATGCTAGAGTAATTTCCATGGTAATTGTGTGTTGCAAGCATGAAAATTAGTACCTTTTGACCTCTAAGACCCTAAATAAGACGTTAAGCACATTTGCTAGTCTTAGGGGAATTGTTGGGTTGATTTTTGGGTGTTTCCCAAACTTAAGTAAGCCATTCCAAAAAAAAAGGATCGATCCCTCGACCAAAAAGATCGATCCCAAACTTTTTGTTGTTTAAAGGATCGATCCCTGGGAAAAAGAATCGATCCCTCAACCAAAAGGATTGATCTCAAACATTTTATTGTGTAAAGGATCGACCCCTTTTCAAAAAGAGTGATCCCTTTGGGAAAATGATCAATCCTTTGAAAGAAATGATTAATCCCTTCATTGTTCTGCTCGATGGAAAAGGGTGAAATTGCATTCATTAGTGGTCTAAAGTGTTGAGGAATGTTGTCTTGACCTCAGCATGTTTGAATGAGTTCAGTTTGGTCCATTAATCGATTTGCTTAAATACTTAAACCCTTAATTTGGATATCATCGATAATGAACAACTCGACTAATAACGTTATGAAATAAGGTGACATAAAACTATCTTTTGTTTGATACTCGGGAAACGGCTAGGACACCCGAGTTACTCTAGCATTATGATGTTTGTATGTTATGTTATGTTGATATCCAGATATCTTTTGTTTGGGTACACATCCGATGCACGTAAATTTCAGGTCATACCTGTACGAATTCCAATGAAAGTAAATTCCGAAATTGTACCTTATGCTTAATTAGGTACGGGATGTGAGCTTCTGATGCACGTAAATTTCAGACCTCCCCCGACCTCTCAAGGATCCGAGGAAGACTAAGGGCTTTAAGTTCTGATACACGTAAATTTCGGTTCTTACCCCAAAGCTATCACGTTCTAGATAAGCTAGTGTGTTGTCCGAGATGCATGCAATTCCTCTGACAACATTACTTGGTCTATCTCATGTTTGATATGTACTTATGCATGTTTAGGACTCTGCATACCAACATGTTCATGTAGTGAATGCATGTAGTATCGTTTAGTTATTTTCGTGGCACTAAGCTTGTGAGGTCAACGTATGGAAACAAGTTGGTAGAGGGGATAGTTGAGGAGGCTTTCACCTTCGTACATTCCAGACCAGAAGATTAGCAGAGTATGACTTGAATTTATTTTAGAGGGCATATATTCAATATAGACCTTGTATAATCATGTCATAACTCTATTTTGGATTTTTAAGCTCTATGGTTATATTGTACGTATTTTGGAGGACTCCTATATTTTGTAAATGTTGGATTTGATTTCCATTGCAAGTGTGATTTATTCTTATGTTAACAATTGCTTTCAAAGAAATTTTCGAGTTGATCATTTCGATGGTTTCGTATGGCATCGTAATTCATGGATCTTCGGGTCGCACTGGATTAGGGTGTTACATGAATACTTTTTTTGGTATAAAAAGTTTAAGTTAGGATGACTACCCTAATCCTCGATCATGGCATATCTAAGACCTAATTGGAATTTATATAGGAATTTACATACTGCTCACCAAGAATGAAGCGATAAGATTTGAACTTAGCCTTACAAACTCAAATTCCTGAATCCCAACCACTTATTCTAACTCTCGTTGACAAATATACTTGAATACTTGATCGTGAAACTAAAGTCTAAAGAAGTGAATAATTTTTTTTGAAATATATGAAAAAATGGGTTAGGCTTTTTCCCTTCATACAGGTGATCGAATCTTAAGAAATGAAGATTTCAATTTATTTAATTTTGAATCAATATGATGTAAATTTATTTTTAATTAATAATTTTGAATCGATATGATTGGTTATCATCAAAATAATAAAAATAATTAGTTATAAATTTGTATTGATTAATATTTCTATTGATATAACGTTGTAGCATATCATCAATAAATCATATTAAGTATGATTGTGTTTGTATTCCATATGATCAGCCTTATAATATTTTTATTTGATTTAGTTGTAAATTAGATCACAAATATTTGTTGAATTAATGTTTTGATATAGGCTTAAATGGGTTAAATTTTTTGAATAATGCAGTTGAAAAATATATTTGCTCGAATAATGCACTCGAGAGATTATTTTGTGAAATATAATGAATGCTACAGTGAACCCTGAAGACGCATTACAATCCATGCAACTTACCCGAACCCTTTGAAGACGCATTGGAGTCCATACGTCTTACCCTGCTCCCCTCAAAGACGCATGGTAATCCATGCGTCTTCCCCCTGCATGCAATGTCCACCAGCAGCTCTACCGCCCAGTACCGACAAGCGCCTCGAAGACGCATGGAATTCCATGCGTTTTCCTATGTACTGCCCCTCGTTTTCCTCACGTTGCATGGGCCATACACGTACGCCCAAAGATGCATTGGCGCTCATTTGTAATACACTCATTCCCCATTGCCATGAATGTAGCCTTGAAGACGTGCAACGGTGAACACCCAACATAAACCCCTGCATGAGAACTCCTCGAAGACGCATGGCTTTCCATGCATCTTCCCACCCTCTGCATGCACCCTATTGGCCACCAGGAAGAGCCCGTCAAAGACGCATGAATTGCCATCCATCTTCCCCCTGCATGTTTGTGGCCTCCTACATGGTAATTGGTGTCATACTCCTGTGAAGCCTCTGCATGCATGGCTGCAGTAGCATAGTA